TTTTTTTTTCAAATATTTTTGAATTTGATAAATAAATGTAGACTTTTTTCCAAAGTTAGTTTGAAATTCTAGAGTGTAAATAAAGCCAGTGAAAAGGAAACAGACAGAGATATAAGGTATAGAAATATAAAGGATAATAGTCTGTACAAAGATGGAGGTTTAATTAGAAACCACTTTAACTTCATGTTTCTCTCCACGTTGGTTTTCTGGAATAAAAATGACTAGTTTTGATGATGGATCGGCATAAATTGAATGACTGCATCAAACTGATAAATACCTGTTAAAAATGCGGAGTAACAATCTAATCTAATCTTCTTGGATGCTTAAAATAACTACCAAAAAACGCATCAATCAAAGCAGCCAAACACCAAACTTTGAGCCTTTTTGAACCAAACCCTGTCTACAGCTGTTATGAAGCTGGAAGTTATCTATGAAGGTCAGATCTTTAACACTGGTGTCTGTGGGCACTGAGATGCGGCTCCTGATTGTGGTGGTTCTCGTGTTCTCGTGTAACATGTGGGCAAACTATGGCCTGAGGGCCAGAATCGGGCTGTGGACATCTCAGTCTGGGCTCTAATGTTCACAAAGCAAAACTAAACAACCTCAACCCTTGTGTGTTTTCTGCAATGAGATAAATGCATTTGCTCTAGTGGTAAATACATATAAATGAAACCTTCATACAGCATTTAAATGGATTGCTTTATATTACAGCACAGCATATAGACAGAAAAAAAGTCCAGATTTCCTCATAGAAAGTTCTAGGACCTGCTCTAACTTGTTGGGTGATCATTTTTCATCATTAACACTTTTACTTTTCACATGATTTATTCCTGAGGGAATATTTTTTCCAGCTTTCATGGAATTTCTTGACAGCAGGAACAACAGAGTTAACTTTAAAATTTCTTTTTCTTTGTTGGCCACCTGCTAACTGTGCAGTTTTAGAAATGTGAAGGCTGCTGATGGTGGGTTTTTACCCCTCACCTGTAAAAGGCCGATGGGGTAATGTTGTGATGCGGGCAGGACACCCAAGTTTGTAACTGCGATAACTCAACATAACTCTTGTGAATGCATGAACTTGAGAACAAGGCTACGTAACATTCTAGCCACCACCACCATTTTTTATTTTTTTTATTTATTTATTTTTAAATTTTAATATGCGATAAATAGAAAATGCACAATTAAGGACAGGGAGACTTCAAAAGTTGTCACGTTTCTTAATCCTTTTGGAGTTTTAATGGGTAAAACTACTGTAGTTAAATAAAGGCTGGTTTGATCATCATGGTCATTCTTATTTTTTGTGTTGTGCTTATGCTCCCTGAAGGTTTGCTTACAAAGCGCTTTCATTTTAGCATGTCAGCGAACTCCTGTGTGGACGCAGCTGTTACATTATTAAAATGACTACTAACAAGGTCTATTGATATGTATGCCTGTTAAAGACATTAAAATGGGAAGCTGATGTTAAAGGGTGATTAAAGGTCAGATATGTTGCTCAGATGCTGTGTTGTGAATGAAACAGGGAACAGAAAGTGATATAGGACAGCAGTAAAACTCCACTTCTCTTTTTTGTCCTCAGCTAATCCCCTGGGAATCCTCCTCGCTAACATCATCTCTCCTGTGATGGCTGAAACATCTGCACAGATCCCAAAGCTGGTGAGTTTAACAAAGAAACCTTTGGTGTTCAGAAAGCAGAGTAGTCTGTGATGCTTATAATAAATGAGAACACCAGTAATCGGAAAACCGGGTTTGGCTGGTTCATAAAAAGATTTGTGAGTGTGAAGGACCTTGGTGGTTGTGACAGATCCCCAGAATATTACAAGTATTACAATAAATATTACAATTGCTCCAATACACTGATTGGCCACAACATTCAAACCAACAGCACAATGTTTGGCCTGCCATAATGTTTGTGCATCAGGCCCAGATTCTACAGGACAAGACAATGCTGTGTTATGTGCATTACACCGAGAGACTTCTGTCCTCGGGGAGTGCTATTTTTGTTTTTTACCCAGATCTGCACTGTATATTAAAGATGAT